ATCCTCTTAATTTTTAAGACGTGAATTTTCTAAAAGTAAAACATTACATATTAGTACTAAATCATATTAGTTAAAATTCTCTTCATGTAGAACCTTAATATACCAATTCTGTAACACAAGATCATCAGACTCGAAATACTCAACAATTCATGTTCTCTTCAACACTTAATCCATATAATGTGTGATATCCGGTGTATTCTTTGTTTTCCTTCTCGCATGCTTTTAAGTCTTGCTTGTTTCTTTGATGACAATTTATCTTCTTGATTAGAGCAAATTTCCCTAGTTTGAAATCCATTTTGACATAACCCATAAGGGTTATGAGCAGTCTTTCTCTACAATTGAAAAGCAATTTATATCAGTTTTGCTTAACTGAATAGTTCTGATGGAATTATAAAGAATATGTATAATACCATATATATTACACTTATCTACCTATAATATTCATATCATATCACTGAATTGAGGTTATGTGATTTTTGACTGGTCTGTCAGAAATTTCAATAAATATGTGATAAATCAATTATCACAATACATAAACAGAATTTGCATTGAACACGACCTATATACTGAAAATAACTAATTAATCATTAATATAATAATTTGTAAATTTAAAAAAAAATCCGCACAATTATACTCACCTCTGGCGTTTTCGTATTAAATATATCACTTTCCTAAAAGTAAAACATTACAAATTAGTACTAAATCATATTAGTTAAAGTTCTCTTTGTGTAAAACATTAATATACCTATTCTGTAATACAAGATCATTACTTAAGAAATACTCAACAATTCATTTTCTTTTCAACACTTAATCGATATGTGTTCTTATTTATTGATATGTGTTCTTATTTTTCTTCTTGCATGTTTTGAAGCCTTGCTTGTTTTTTTGGTGACAAAGGATTAATAATTTCTAATATTTTATCTAACTTTGTATTTATCTTCTCTATTGGAGCAAATTTCCCTAGTTTGAAATCCATTTTCGTAGGGGTTATCAGCACTGTAATTTTCTCTACAATTAAAAACCAACTTATATCAGTTTGTGCTTAGATAAATAGTTCTGAAACTAATGGAACTATAAAAAATGAATATGTATAAAACTATATAACTTACTTCTCTTTATTCATATATCACTGAATTGAGGTTATATTTCTGACTGGTGCGTTAGAAATTTCAATATTGCATGATAAATCACTTATCACAACACATAAACAGACTTTGCATTGAAGACGGCCTATACTATACTGCAAATGACTAAACATTATTATAATAATTATAAATTAAAATATGTTTCAGTACAATTAGACTCACCTTATTTGCCGGTTTCATATTAAATACTTTTGCAGCTGACTGTTTAACTAATTTCTACAACTGATTTCGCACTAAATATAAAAGCAATTAATAAATAACGTTTCAATAATTGAAATATCTTGCATTTCAAACATACACGATAAAATACTCAATTCTGCGTCCACGATGCACTAACTGAGTTAACCTATAATTAATTTGACGTTTCGCTCATAAAACACTTCACGGCTATTTCAAAGGCTAATCTATGTGACAATGCAACGTACCGCGCCACGTACCGACAGAAACGCGTCGACGGTGGTTAAAGATCACAACTATACGTAACAGCATCGGTTTTTTTTACTTAACATCAGTTTCGAAACGAAAGTTACAAAATGAGTTACGTAGATTTAACTTCTGTGGTTTACTGGGATGTATATATGTGTGTATACGTATATGTATATGTGTACGTGTACAGCTATATTTACATAGATAGGTATGAGTATATGTATGTTTCATACATGTACATGTACGTCGTTGTGAATATGCATGCACGTTGCATATAAGTATGTATATGTATATATGTGTAGGCGAATATATATATATGTACATATATATGTATATATTTATTTATTTGTATGTGTATATGTGTATATATATGTTTGTATGTATGTATGTATATATATGTATGGATATGTATATATATATATATGCGTAGGTTTATGTGAATATATATATAATATATATATATATATATTTGTGTACTTATATATTTATGCCTACATCCTTTTTCTTTTTTATCTATTTAATATCTAGTCTCTATTACCTTTTCTATTTTTTATATTTTGTTTGTTGTTAAGTGTTGCTGTTTTGTTAATATCTAGTCCCTATTACCTTTTCTATTTTTTATATTTTGTTTGTTGTTAAGTGTTGCTGTTTTGTTAATTTTTCTCTTATTTTATAGCTACTATAACAATCCACATATTTTATAATTACCTAGATATACTAATTTTTCATACTGTTTTTAGATCCACTGATGATGACATTAAATTGAATGTCGAAACGTTTGGAATTAAAGATTAATTTATAAATCTTTGCTTTTTATTCTTTGATGTATCGCCCCACAAGAACTTACTCATATATATATAAAATTATATTCCATAAATAGAACTTCCATTACGCTTTTATCTGCCTTACGAGTTCAATCTAATTTTTAGAATGCTACTGTGGACATCAGAATCAAGAAGTCAGGTGTACATCCGAAACTGCTTGGAGGAAGAAATATAGTTGTGGACAAATATGCGGTCGAATGCTCGATTGCAAAAATCACACTTGTCTTGAAATATGTCACAGTGGAGATTGTAAGCCATGTATATTGACGCCAGATAAAATTTCTAGCTGTCCTTGCGGTAGGGCGCCGCTATCAAGCGATAGTCGCCAAACTTGCTTAGATCCAATACCTTTGTGCGAAGCAATTTGTGAAAAACCTTTAGCCTGTGGACTAGCTGATGACCCTCATAAGTGTACCAAGATATGTCATGAAGGTAATTTTGCTCATTTATATATATATATATATATATATATATATATATATATATATATATATATATGGTGACGCCACTGACTATTACATGCGTCGATAATAATAATATAGTCGCCATCTCGGAGTTACAATATGTCAACCGATTTGTTCCTTTCTAATCCAGACTACCTGTCTCTTTCCTTCCAAAACTTTGACCTATGACTTCCGACATGTGGTCAGTCTATTCTTTCTATTCGAGTTGATTTCCAGTTCACTTCGCTTCCAGTGCATTTTCAGTTCGGGTGCTATCTAGTTCCGTAGTCAATTCGATTCCAGTGCGTTATCAGTACGCTTACAGCTTGCTTTCTTTCTTTGGTTCAGTTTCGAGTTTCCTTCCGAGTCAGTCGAGTTTAGAAGTTTTGTTGAGTTTCCTTTTATTGACCAAAGTGAGGTCATTTTTTAGTTTGTTATTATCATTGAAGAAGAACGTTTTTAGTTTCCATATACAGTCCACGAATACCAGCCATCCGTGTGGTCTACTGATCGAATCAAGGCCACACCACATTTTGGCCTTCCGAGCCGGATCTCAATTAAGATTGAGAGTTTGCATGATATATTTGCATTTAACGGATATCGAGGTAAGATTATATTTCCAAGTTTCTTATAATCCTAAAAATGCCGCCCAAGAGTGCATCTGCCAGTTCTGAAGTCGCATGTCTAATTTCCAAGCGAGAAATGTATTTTTCCATTATACAGAAGACGTATGACTTGAGCAGAGATGTGGAAGATGCGTCAAGCAAGAAACAATTTTGTACAAACCTGATAATGTTAGATAACGTTCGAGAACAATTTATAAAACTTACCGACGATATTAATAAATTAAACTTGTTGGAAAATCCCAGTTTCGTACCGGATTATGCTGCCCTTCTATCCGTGGAACAATTATACGCGGAAATAAAATACATTGAAAAAACCATTTCTGATGTAAACAATACTTCCTCTTTGACAAAAAGTGAAGATTCCCCATATAAATCTATTTCCAAATCCCGTCTACCGACAATTGAAATACCCAAATTTGCGGGTGATTTCAAAAAATGGCCGCTATTTTACGAAACATTCAAAACCCTTATACATGAGAATCCCGAGATTGACATTATATCTAAATTTCATTATTTAATGGGCGCCTTAGAAGGCCCAGTAATGAAAATTTTCAATACTATCTTACCTACCGCCAATAATTATTTAATTTTATGGGAAGCATTGATAAACAAATACGAAAATAAACGTTATCTGGGCATTCATTATTTCAAACAGTTAATGTCTTTTAAAACTGTAAACTCATCACAGTTGCATAACTTTATCGAGAAATTTGACACTGCAGTACAAGCATTAAATCAATTAAATATTCCAGACCTGTATGATTTTTTACTAACATCAATCGCTCTATCCAAATTAGATACCAATTTACAGGAAAAATTTGAAAATTATTTTCAGGGCGAATATCCTTCCTATAAAGAATTATTACAATTCATAAATAAAGTGCAAAAAGGTCAAAGTTATATTTATGATTTGCGCGAGAAGGTTTCGAAAACCCACATTTCTCATTCGTTGATAACCAGCAATGTCAAATCGTTTCAATGTTACTTATGCAACAAAAGTCATAATATTTTCAAATGCCCGCAATTTCTAGAATTAAATATCAATGACAGATGGTCGGCAATTAAGAGACTGAATCTTTGTTCGAATTGCCTGGGTCATAAACGTAACAGTCCGTGTCATTCTAAGAAAACATGTCTGTATTGTAATACCAAACATCATACTTTGTTACATTCAAATAATTGTGTTGACAATACAAAACAAGTTCCAACAGATATTCATTCCAAAAATTCGAAGCAAAAAATTTCCGATTCCAATCCAAGTAATACTTTATGCGTTGTAAATGAATTAGATTTATCACATCATATAAATCTTATGCCGACCGCAACTGTTTATGTTTTGGCAACAGGATTAAAACTAGTCCGTTACGTGTCATTATTGATACCGCAAGCGATCGCAACTATGTGACTGAGTCATTCTGTAAATCCGCTCAACTTGAGATAACACCGATCGAGGCTCAAGTCATTTCTATAGGTAACTCTTCGCAAAAAATTACGGGCATGGCAAATTTTGTTATTATGTCGAATGATTGTTCCTTTCAAATGTCTGTATGTGCCTATGTAATACATGAAATTGTCAAACCACAACCGACCATTAAAATTCCATTTGATTCCATTAATAAATTTTTATCTTTACAACTGGCGGATAATAAATTTTTCATTCCTCAAACTGTTAATGGAATCTTGGGTTGTGATGTATTTAATGCTATTATTATGTCAAATCACATAAAAACCGTCGATTCACCTATCGCATTGGATACAAAATTAGGTTATGTAATAATGGGATCTCTTCCAAACGTTGCATCGCCTGATTCCATTCGACAAATCTATGCACGATTGAACATGATTCCTTATCTAAACAAATGAAAACATTTTTTGAGTTAGAAGATGTACCTGACATGATTGTGTCGGAAAACGATTATTGCGAACAGTTCTATACGTCCACCACAGTACGGAATTTCGATGGACGTTACGTGGTCGCATTACCATTTCGTGACAACGTTAATGTAAATTTTCAGAAATCATATGAACTCGCGCATAAGCGTTATTGTATTTTAGAACAAAAATTTCGGAAATCTTTTGAATTCCATAAACAATATTCAGAAGTAATTCAAGATTATTTACAACAAAAACACATGTCATTTTTAGGCCATGTAAATGATTCCGCAGCCAATGAAGGGTATTATATTCCACATTTTGCCGTGATTAAAGACAGCTCATCCACACCGTTACGAATTGTATTTGATGCATCAGCAAAGAATGCTGAATTTCCTTCCCTGAATGCCAACCTATTTTCCGGGCCAAAGCTACAGTCTAACATTATCACAATTCTTCTTAACTTTCGTTTTGGCGAAATTGCGTTAACGGCCGATATTAAACAGATGTACAGAAATATATTAATTCGTGATCAAGATAGACGATTTCAAAGGATACTTTGGAGATTTTCTCCGGAAGATCCCCTCGGCATTTATGAATTAAACACTGTCACGTTTGGTATTACGTCATCTCCTTTTCATGCGTTACGCACTATTAAACAACTAGCTAAAGATGAGAGCAAAAATTACCCCTTAGCCACTGATATAATGCAAAATGATATTTATATCGACGACGTGGTTACTAGTGCAGACACCGTCGAAATCGCAAAACAACTTTACGTTCAATTGTCGAGTTTGTTCCGTTTCGCGTGTTTTGAACTAGCGAAGTGGGCTTCGAATGATCGTCTAATGATAAACAATTTGAATCACACCATAAAACACAAATTAATTTTTCACAAACCATTCTGAATTTGATACGTCCGTTAAAGTATTAGGATTGAGATGGGATCCAATTCAAGATTGTTTTAAATTTAATATCAACCTTCTCCATCAAAATTGGACAAAACGTCATATATTATCCACCATTGCTCGTATTTGGGATCCCTTAGGTTTTATTACGCCTATTACCATCAAATTCAAAATGATCATGAAAGAACTATGGTTATTAAAATTAGATTGGGATGAGCCATTACCTTCCTCATTAGTTGCAACATGGCTTAGTATTTATAATCAACTTCCAGAATTAATTAATCTTTCCATTCCTCGATTTGTAGGTACCAAAAATTATATTCGTTGTTCTCTTTACGGTTTTGCGGATAGTTCAGAAAAGGCTTATGGGGCTGTGATTTATATCAAGCCTTGCCATGATAATAAATATTACCTTCTTATTTCAAAATCAAAAATTACTCCAATTAAAGTTCAAACTTTAGCTAGGTTAGAGTTGTGTGCGGCGCATTTATTGGCAAAATTATTATCCTTTGTCATATCTTCCAATCATCATTCTTTATGTATCGAAGAAATATATGGTTTTACGGACTCGATGATTGTGCTTCATTGGTTAACAGGACCAGCTCATAGATGGAAAACTTTTGTCGCAAATAGAGTAACGAAAGTTCATGATTTACTTCCTTCTGCCAAGTGGTATCATATTCCTTCCGAGGCAAATATTGCCGATTGCGTTTCTCGTGGTTCATTACCAAATACATTGCTTAATAATAGTAATTGGTACACAGGTCCCTCATGGCTTTACTCTCAAAGAAGTCATTGGCCCATACGTTCTACGTTAGATTCCATGCAAAATGTTCCAGAAGAAAAAGTTTCATCTTGCTTAGTGGCAAACTCCTGTAAAAATGATCTATACGATTTTACTTCCACTATATCTTCGTGGGCCAGACTATGCAGAATATTTGTATTTATTTTACGTTTCTGCAAAATTATTCCATCTAGAAATATATTTTTCAGATTTCAACAAAGCCGAATTAACTATAATCAAACTTATCCAACAAATCTATTTTTTCGAAGAAATTGATTGTTTGAAAATGAATAAGTTTCCTAAAAGGTATCGGACTTTACGACTATTCTTACATGATGGGTTCTTAAGAGTTGGTGGATGTTTAACACATGCTAACCTAAATTTTGATTATAAATTTCCCTTGCTTTTACCCAAAAAGGATCACGTGATAAATTTAATAATTGATTATTATCATGAGAAACATTTACATGCTGGTCCACATTTACTCACTTCATTCTTCGTCAAAGATACTGGATTTTATCCATTCGCAGTATTGTACGCCAACGTATTCATAAATGCAATAAGTGCTTTAGGAATAATCCTAAATCCTTTACTCCTATTATGGCTGATTTACCTTCTCCTCGTGTTATGGAGGCAAAACCTTTTCAGCACACCGGTACTGACTATGCTGGTCCCTTTCGCGTAACCATGGGAAAATTTAGGGCGTAAAAAGTTCAAAAGCATATATTTGTTTATTTATTTGTTTTTCCACAAAAGCAATACATATTGAGCTTGCCTCCGATTTAACCACTTCGACGTT